ACCGTTGTTTGCTCTTATCACCACAAACTCTCTTGACATCGTCGTCGGTATCTTTTATGTGTGTGGCACTGTAGATATTTGCTTTGTTTTTTTCTTTTTTGATTCTGTCACATGTTAGAAGTGTCATCATCTGTTCACACATCAACTTCTCCTGGATTTCTACAGACAGTATACAGTACTAGGAGGTCAGGCAGAGAAGGTCAGCAGGAACTGCGAGCATCTCATTCGGACATTTGTGTTAACACATGCACCTTCTCCAGAGAAAATACAGAGGAACTGAGTTCAGTGCATGTCTGAGAGCAGTTCATTTATAATTGTCAATTTGTAGTTTGTAGCTTTTGCAATTGTGTTTTCTGTCAATGCATTTGTGTGACATGTCTCGAATAGCTCATTCATTGATTTGTTTTGAAGTCAGACAGGTTTAAAAAAGAAAACAGCTTACGGTTCCTTTAAAATGTTTCATCATTCTTTCATTTTGCATCAAAATCCTAAACATCGGCAATATATGAAGCTCCACTTAACTTTGCTGATAAGTGCAACAGTAATGTGGTGATTCAAGTGCAAACTCATATTAGCAGATGACCTTGTACGTCTCATCACTACAAGGAGAATCCTCTTCCTAGAAACTATTCCGCTCAGAAAAGGTGCGAATAAGCCAATGTCCCCTGGATGCACTGATGTGACCACATCAGGACTGTTTAAAAGAGATGGCCAACACCCTTGCTCAAAGGAAATGGAAAAAAACACACATGAAAGGCTCCATTGCCTGTGACAGACCTAAGATGCCTGCGGCACAGATGATGTAATTTAGCCTCTCTCTAGTTTAATCTCGTTTTCAATTCCCAAGCAGTATCTCTGTAATTAGATGGTGTGTGTCCCTAAGCCTCGTCATCAGAACACCTATTTTCCCCAGACTGGGGTCTAAGTAAAGCATCTTCTCTTTTGTGATTTGCCCTTTTAAATATTTGATCCCTCCTGCCAAGAGCATTACTCATTAATATTACAAATTAGATTTTCCCCCAGATTGACTGAAGGCTGTCTTGCACCTTGTATCTGCGTCTCTTTAAATGAGGGATTTAGAGGCTGGATGATTTGTGGAGATGCATACAGTTTAGAGTGCAGCTTTTCAAATGGCGTTGGAGAATTTTCTGTTTGAGCTCTGCCTTCAGGTCAGCTTTGCATGTTTCCAAGCAGAGGAGACAGAAAGGACTTGTGCTGATGCTTAACTCTGTTGCTCAGTCACAGCTATCGGTGCACTAAACAGCCCTCGAGGGGGGCCTGTCTGATTGAATGCATGTGTGTGGGTGTGTGCATGCATCGGTGCACATATTGAACAAAATCAGTGCTAAGAGACATGCAGATTGCCCCAGGTCATACACTTGTTAAGTGGACATCAACAACGCAGCAGCCACACGCTCGCACAGACCTCTCAGTTTCATCTGCCGAGCCCCTGTAGTGAGGCTGGAAGCTGGTGCATTATTGATGGGCTTGTCCTGTAAAGCACTGAACTTACTCGAGCTGCCGGTAACATTACACCTGGCAGCCAAACAAAAAGCTTTTGTTAAATGAAGTGCTTTATCAGACTAATTGATGGGAAAGTGCTTACAACTGATGCTACAAATGATCATAACTTGACATTACTTCACATGCAATTGAGTTTACAGTGATTATTTAATAATTGTTCTAAAATTGGAGAGACACAAAAATATTTCAATCTTAATACTTCTTTTTAAAGTGAGTGAGTGAGGTTCAATTATCTATTTAGTACCTTTACTCTGTTACTGTACTTAAATATATTTTTCATGTATCTGTACTGCTTTTGGGGTACTCTTACTTTTAATCCACTACATATGTCAGCAAATATTTGTACTTTACACTCTTTTTTACACAGCATTGTGTAATGTGTTCTCATTGTTACAGTGGGCAGGTAACATTAGACCACGCCTCCTGCAGCAGCATCATCACTGGTGAAGAAAACACATGAAATGGATTTGGGAGGCTCAGAGGCTGTGACTCATTATGATGTAGTCAACCGTTGCATTTGAAAACAGTCTAAACTCTGCTACTACTTTTACTTTTATTACTAAGAGTATATTTAAAACTATTTACTTGCTTTCTTTTACTCAAATAGAAAAGTTTATGTGCTACTTTTAGTTAGTAAAATGTTTCAGCACTTCCTCCACCGGTGATTTAGGACAAACTAATTGCCAAGTGCCACCTTGACAAACTGCATTGTGTCTGTTCTGTGAGTGTTTAGGAAGTAGAGTGGCAGTTAAATACTCAGAGGAGGTGTATGTGTTTAGAATGTCAGCTCAGAGTACAAAGTCTGTGTACTGTTCGATTTAGCTGATGTGCAAACAGATAATGGGCAGAAACCAGCTTACACTATGTGCAGAACGCAATTATGATCACCATAATATTTTCATAGGAGCATGTTGCAGTTCTAGTTTTCAATTGCAGCCTCAATTTCACAAACTGACTGTACCTGCTTCTGATCATGTATTATGTTTTCACCATGACCAAGTTATATTTCTCATAAAAAGTCATATTTGAGTATTTTCAGTGACCTTACAAACATCTATTTCAGTCCCTCTGAAAGTTGTGGATGAATTAATTATTTCCTCAAATATAGCACAGACAAACTAGATGTGTGTAACTGCAGCCTATCCGCCCTTGAAACTCCCTGAGGCTGAAGTTGTGGGGAGGATAAGTTCATGGTTAACTTCCCATCAACCAAAGGATATTCCGGCATGTCAGGACTGCTCCTGAGAAGATCTAGTGTTCCAGTCTTCCAGTGGGAAAGTTATAAAACACAGGCATGAGTCATAAAATGCAGGTAACCTAGATACTGCAGATCTTCAGGATATTTGCTGGCCATGGGAGTTATTGCCATCCTGAACTGCACGCCCCAGACACAGAGAGCCATGTAATATGTGTGGTTGTCCCTGGCAACAGTACTGCTATGTGCACAAAAGTGTATTTTAAAGGGAGCATTAAATGTTTGGATATGGAAAGAAAAACACTCTCATGCATTTTTAAGAGGACAGAGATTTAATCTGCAGGCACAGGGAGCACATGGAAACTCCACACAGAAAAGGTCCCGGTCGCCCAGCAGGTTCAAACCCAGAATCTTTTCGCTGTGGTGCAAGGGCTCCCACTGCCCCACCGCGCACACTATAGAACTTTTCCATTAACCCTTTAATGCAACATGCTGGAAAACGAGGAGATTCATGTAAATTGATTATCAGTGTGTTTTTCATACACTCTGTGCAAAAGAAGGAAACTGGGATCACTACAACCCACAGATGTCAAAGGTCACTAAAGGTTAACTGCCTTGTTAGCGATGAACCTGGTGCTCCTTCACTGCCCTGAGTCCCAGTGGCTGAAGCTCAAATCAAGAATCATCCAGCTCAGACTATTTTCTGCTGTTACGGCTTTCGTGTCATCCGTGTCGTGCTCTATTTAAAGAGTCTGGGCCGACGATCTTGAATGACACACTGACATATCTCCAGTTACAGAGGCCAGGCTGTTCTGCTGTAACACTGAGGGGCTGTGCATGCCCAGCAGGCGAGCAGGCATGTAAATGGAGTTTCACACTTACCAAACAGTTGATGGCACATAGTTGGTACAAGTAGCCATTGAGGAGGCAAATCTGAGATCCAAGTGAGCATGTCGCACTGATGCTGTTATTTATTAAGCATCTAAAATGATTTTAATCTTCCAAGGTTTTTAAAAGATAATTTTCAAAACAATAATGTTTATTACAGCAACTAAATTATTGCTCAAGTCCAATTTCAGTTTAACGCCATGAATAAATGATGCTGCTCAGTCTGCTGTTAAAATTTAATCTCGAATCTTGTTTTAATTTTAACATCACAGTTGCTAGAAACGGTTCCATGCAGCTGCCCTTCAGTGAGGCAATGCCCGAGCCAAGACAGATGTAGGTATGTTGATTTTGGCCGCCACTCCTACATTTCCCATGTGCCTCCTCGGGCCAGATGAGGTCATTGCTATTAATCCGCCAATCCGCTTTTGTCTGAACTCCGTCCTGTTGGATGGATTCGAATTATCATTTATAGTTACACCATGAACTCTGTGACCCTTCTAAGGATGACACTCACAGATTGAGTTTGGAGAAAAGGTGTCAACCTGCCTGTTTGTTTGGCCTGTGGTGCCATCACATGTCCAAATCACACCAAATTCTACACTGCACATCCTTGGGCCCTTAACAATACACTGCATTACAAGTGTGAAGCCGAAAAGATGAAGTCTTTGGGTGCAGCAGACACTATTTTGGAACACAGCAGATATCCAGGCCAAGATTCTTCCAGTCCGAGGAGGTTCTTTTATTACACCAGTCGAATGTTTCTCGACAGACAACACAAACAGCGATACTTCTTGGAGTTGTTTTTTGGTGCAGACAACACTAATCTCTCAGCTATCTCCATATGCTCTCCAGTTTATGTGGATACACGTGATTTGTCAAACTACAAAGGGAAACCAGAAGACTCCCTGCCCCCAATTTTGTCCCTCACACAGACAGAGATTTGTAGAATTATTAGATAGATGCTATCAGAATAAAAAGATTAAAACTTTCTTTAAATCTATTGAAACAAAGAGACTAAGCTAGTATTAATAATGAAACGTATTTGCTGTGATTAATAGGCAGTATCTAGTCACTAAAATCCCCCCAAAGATAGTTAATTGTATCATTTCAAACCATGTAGACATTATTCAAACTGAAAGCTCTAAGTGCTTGGAGAGTGATGCTCGTCAGGGGAAGAGTAAGTTTCACTTTTCCTCTCCCCCCTCAGCAGCAGACTGCTTCTTCATTAAAACAACAAGAATACATGGCAGCTCTACAGCTGTCGAAGAGTGCCAGTGTGTTTAGAAAAGAGCCAGGCCTGCGTATTGGTGACAGTGTGCATCTGCGCTTCAGTGAAAGGCACCTCCTCACCGACAAACACGTCAGAGGCAACAGCTGGTCTTTGGTTACTTACGTCTGTGTCGGGCCCTTTATCTGCCCCCGGGCAGCAGAACGTGACCAGTTCATGGCACCTCTTGTGGACCACGAAACAGCAAACTGCAGGAGATAAAGAGAGAGAGAGAATGGAGAGAAGAGTGGGAAGAGAGAGAAAGATGAGGAGAGACATTTGGAAATAAACAAAAGCACAGACGGACAGAGAAAGACAGGGAAAAGAGAGAGAAAGAGTGATATGGTTAAAATACAGTGCATCATTGTTGACTGATAGACAGCAGAGAGAAACAGAAATCTGATAACAGGAAAAAAAAGTGACTGATGTCTGGGCCAGGCTCCTTATCATGTGTCCAGATGGCCAGTCCTGCCTGCAGGCTGACTGCTCTTGTTGCAGAGTACAGTGCCATCTCCTCACTGACATGACAGGAGCTGATGCAGACACCACACACACACACACCGCACATACACACTAACACTTAACGAAGCTCGTTCAGTGAGGACAAACACATCCTCACAATCATTGAACATGCATCCTCTGCATAGAACACATCTAGATCTATACACACACGTGAATATATCTGTGCCAGGTCACTGAGTGCACTCCATTCTGCAGCCAAGCTAGCAGCAGACTCGTGGTGGAGGAAGGCGCCTGTTACTGGCGCTCGAGAACCGGCTGACACCAAAAAACGAGACAGGGTGGTGGAGGAGGGGTGGTTGAATGTGTGAGCTGACTGTCATGAAAAGAGAAAAAAAACTGTATATTGTCACTTCTTTGTCCTTTCATGATTAGACACTGAAGTGTTTTGATAGACACAAGAGCCCCTCCCTTTCTTCCGAGGACTCAAGGCCGAACACTCGCAGTATGAGATGAAAGCATCTGAATTGGTGGTTTTCGATAGTCCTCACTTAGCACTGAGTAACCCTGCAGACTCCATTAGTGGCTTGTGTTACATTAATGATGCAGCGCATCTTCAGAGTCTTGATTTATTTTCCATTTTTTTACAGTTTATCTGCCATATCGGGGAGCAAATCAAAACATTGCAGCAAAGAAATGTACGGTGTCTCACTCTTTCTCGTGTATCCACCTACACGTCACCTCTCGTCTTTCCTCTGAAACCTTTTCAATCAGCTCCACCCAAACATAAATAGGCGAGATGAGCTGTGATGGCCGCCGTGGCACAGTAGGGGTTAAAATAAGCCGATGACAAACAGCCAGGGAAATGTGAGTCACATTAACGCCTACATCAGCTGACTGACAGGTAATATGCAAAAAGACAGTGACAATGACCAGCAGAGACGTCCTCATAATCAGACGCCATTTCAATTTGTTTCACCATTTCAGTACTGGTCTGCTACGTCAAACTGTGGATCCATTCATGAATTATTTAAATACCCATTAAATTGTCATCATTCAGTTATTATATTTGACATATTAACACTTGTTTTTGAGTCAAAGCCTACATCTATCTACCATCCGTCCTGTCAAAGTGCTGCAACTCCCAAAATCATGAATAAAGACAGCTATTTATGAATACACCCCATTAGCGTGCAATTATGTGCATTATCACCAAGAAATCTGCTAAATATTAAGTACTTAGTTGTTGCTTACATGTCTGTATATGCAGTTTATGCATATTTCTGGTGTGCATTATAAACTGAACCCATTAACATCAGTTTAAAACGACACAAACCTAATTTGCTTGCTAAATGTTCACAATTTATCCAAGATCATAAATCAGTATTTAAATCCCTCAATTTATTTTATCAAGACAGCAAAATGTACCCCTGCTCTTCTGTTTATCTCAGGTACACTTTTATTTGCTATATTTTTCTCTCAATAAAAAAGGCTCTGTTCCTCCTTGTCCACATGCTGTGCAGACAAACATTGTACCAGTGTTGCAGCTTGTTTGTTTGTGAACATATTGCTGCAAAGTTACGAAGGCAGTGCGTGCACTTTGCATAGTCACTCTCATATCGTTTTGGATGAATAACTCGGCATAAAATTCAATATTGACTGGCCCAAAGCTACAAGAAACATCAGTGTTCAGCAAATGAAAATGATTTTCAGAGTAATACATTTACTATAATATCTTTTTGACTCAAAATACTGAGAACTGAGGAATTGTATCAGAACATGTAGATGACACATGTACGGTAAAGTACATGCAGAATTTTCACAGAAGGAGGTTGTTTGTTATGTGTGTGGCAGACACGTTAGGCAGCATGAGTAAGAATACAGAAGTTAAATGGTTGAAAAAAGGAAAGGACTGTTTGATGGCAACATAAACATTCCAAATTTGCACTGATATTGTTTTTCAAGTCATTCTTTTAAGTGGCAAATATACAGCAGTACATGCTGCACCTTCTAGCTGCCTACCTCTCTAAAAGTGCGTCCACTCAAATCTACTACAGGTAATAAATTGACCATGTATAAGTACCTCATCTATCCCACATTAAATAATCCAAACTTTCCCTTTAAAAAGTGTCACGGACGGAGGTGAATTTTGCATAAAGGCTGTCGGAACATCAGCCTCAGTAGTGTCATAGCTGTGTGCATCATGAATATTTGACTAATGTGGTTTTGCAAATGATGCATTTGAATATTTGACACTTTAAGAATTTGGCAGCACCAACCAAGACCGAGCCAATAATCAACAAGACATGCTTCTCTTTGGATCAAAAAATGTCGCTTTATCTCCACTTGTAAATATTCTCAAACGCACAAGCTGCAGTTGGAGTGAGATGCATCATAGTAGCGGGTGTTGTTGTGGAGAAAATCCACTTTACCAGCCCAGATTTCAGTTTGAGACTCAGCAAATGCAGCACTGTTGTCACAAGCAAGCTTTTCTACCCATGCTGCTATGATGAATTGTTCGTAAGTAAAAGTATAAATATTTTACTCAGATATATTCAAGTCAAAAAATTACTCAAGAGAGTATTTGGCTGCACAAGCAACCAAAACACAAATGCAAAAGCACGTTTGTTGTGTTTTTCGTCAATGCACTTGTGCGAGACGTCTCAGCCACCGTAGAAAACCCTACTCAGAGTATAAATGCTAATCTACGTTACACATGCATTGTATAAGAACAAAAAAGGTTAAGGTTTGCCTTCATCTTAGTATTCATGTGCACTTTAATGATGCTAATCAATAGCACCCCCACATACAGACATATCACGCCTCCAAATTTACCCCCTCCTCTGGGCTATTGGTCAGAGCGCTCAATAACCGACATGAAGCCATAACCCATAACTCACACCATCGCCAATCCACAGACCGGACAGGTCATGAATCTCAATGATTCAGTCCCTCCGTGATTCATACCGGAGTAATTAGCTGATAGTGGTGTGAATGCGACAGTTCATATCACTGGATGTTACCAAGTCTTTGCCTTGGGTTTCTATGAGGTTTGATGGTTTTCTTGTTCTTTTCCAATATTCGAATCACACCATTTCCTCCAAATACAGCAAACACTGCTGCATTATGTGTTTAACGCATCGCCTCCTTTGCAGCGGTGGATTATAGGGTATAAGAAAGAGTTTATTTAGTAAAGGTGCATGAACTGGATATAAGCTGGAGCACTATGCAATAGCAACAGCCCAGTAGAAGGCAGTGCATGTTATTGCAATGTTATCTCAGGCATTCCAACACAGAAAACACAGAGCCTATTTGCTGAACAGAAACCATATCTGGTCGGAACATGTTCTATTTTGGCTCTTCGTACCTGCTCAGGTGAAATTTCTCAATGCAAATCCCTGAATTACTGTTTTCTGGCTCAGGACAACGGTTTCCTGTGACACAGAAACATGGAAATGGCTTAGCCTGTTCAGAGAATGCAAGAGACAGAGAGGGCATGAAGGAGTAAATGTGATCAACAGAGATGGATGGAGTAAGATAAAGAAGGTGGTTGGCACTGGCAAGATGAATGAGGTCAAAGCTCATCGTCTTCTGCTGCTCTCATTAGAGCTCCACTGCCTGCGATCAGCCGTCCCAGAGGTCTTGTTCTGGGGCAGCACTTAAAGGTTCGACACATTCATCACCTCTGACGCCATCTTAGAGGAACTCCTCCGTTAGCTTCACCGTAACTGTATAATGGTGAGACGATAATGTACTTTATAGTTGTACAGCAAGTCTATTCATCAAGGTAATTTGTCTTTGCTAATCACTTGGATGGATGTGGAGTTTAATTGCTTGTAAAACATCATAATAATGCAAACAAGGAAGACACAGGGGTCAGGGGTGGTCAGTTTCTATTAAAAGCTGTCGCTATTAAGAGCTATTGGATTAAAACTGGGACTCTGGGGACTGACACTGTGATATAAAGCAATTAAGGCTCACAGAGTTGTGTAAGCGTAAACGATTTCTTAGTTCCTGCAAGAAATTAGATTTGGGGGATGTGATGTGTTACAGTCATTTTTGGGAGAGGAAAGCGGCTAAACTGTGGCGTTCCTTCTCCATCGATCTGTTAAGGTAACTGGAGATACTGTATCTATCTGCCTGTAACCTTTTTCCCTCGACAGGAGCGCGATGAGGGTTTTCAAAACAATCCTCATTGGCTTCAACCCAAACGAAGACAAAATCACTTCTCTATCCCAAAAGATAACATAGTTCACTCTGATTTTATTCTGGTCACGATTACCAGGTCTCAACTTTATAGGAGCAATTTCCTGGAGATTTTTCTTGAATTCAGGCAGGAAATGAGAAAAGGGGAACAGTTTCATTCAACAGTCCGTTTGTATAAAGATGTGATTTACTTACGAGGTACCTCGGTAAAACAGAAGAAAGAGAAGCGAAAGCTTTTAGATCCAACCATCACAAGGCTTTTGTAGCTCAGTGCTGGTCATAACAAAAGCCTTTCCTTCGGGACCGTGGAGTTTTTAATTATGTCCCGTGGTTCTTTTCTCGAATTGGACACCTGCACCATTACCCTAACTGTCACAAAACAATGACACCATGGCCCAGAAGAGGTGAATGAGAAAAATCATTAAACACGAACCATTTAGATGAGATAGAGCAAATGATATGAATATGAAAAAGTTGTGTAAGGAAGTCAAGGAGAAACATTGAAGTATTCAGCAAATCGTGGCTGAAATAATTATTCGTACAA